GGAACACTTTCGGCCAGCAAAACAAGGATCACAGGTAGTTATCCTGGATATGGAGTTTATCAGCAGAAGATGAGATGTGGAAGGATTAGAAAGAGTATATTAACAGAAGAATTTTAATATGGACAGATTCAGCGCTTTTTGAACAGATTCGATTCAACAATTCGATATTCAAGAACACGAGAGGCAGCTCCGCTGAGGATAAATAGTGGCATGAAAGTATGACAGTTTAATGGGTGTTCGACTGATTGTTGGTATAATTTAATATTTACTGTGTAGTATTCCTTCTTTTTACGATATTGTTCAAGACCAATAAAGTTATTGTCGATGTTATAGAGTTACAACAACATTGTTAAAATGCTCACTGATAGATTTGATGCCATGAGCGGGAAATGTCATCCATGATACCAGTATGGTGCTATGCCTGTGAAGGGGAAAATTCTAAAGTGGTGCTAAAGCTTTTTTACCATCAGATAAGGGTAGTCTTCTAGAGCGATTACAAAGGGATTTGGCAGCACCTTAAGTAGATGCATACATAGTAATTGAAGTTGAAAAGTGCGTTATCATTTATAGCTTTAATATTTTTAGACGACCATATGCTCAGCAGATTTAATTTTTTTGGATGGTCATATACTTAACGGTTTATAATTCCAATTGGTTGCAGAAATATATTGCGCCTTATTTCATGAAATATTCAAATTTGGATTCTCCATACTGATGATCTATCTCATATTTTATTATTTTATTTTTATTAATACTTTTTTTCTAAACACAAATTCTGCATAAACCCAGTCTGTTTCATTAAAAACATCAGTTCCTGCAGTGGCATCTGCTGTATGCAATAAAAGCGTGGATAGCATGTATGTCCAAGATGCACAGTCAGAGTAATGGTATAGCTCATGATTCTTAGCTATGCTTTCTAAATGTTGCTTTTTCGCAAAAATTATCTTTCCAAAAACTGTGCCAGCTGCGACCAAACGGGTAAATGCAGTTGTTGGACTCCGTGCTTTCGGTCGGTGCTCGAGAGTCTGTGAAAATTCGTTAGGTCCCGTAGACTGGTATGTCAACATTTTGAGTAAGCTGTTTGCAACTTCCACGAATTTAAGCTTTGTGCAAATTGAAATATTAGAGGAATAGAAGCTATGAAGTTAGCCTAACAATTTTCTTATGAATGGATTTTTTTTTTTCAGAGTTGTCGGCATTACTTTTCTGGATAAAAGAGTGATAAAAGGATGAAAAAGCAAGATATAAAAATGGTAAAAAAAATGCAAGAGCAAAATACAAGAAAGCAAAGCTGAATTCTGACGAGGGGTGATTTAGTTATTGTAAAAATGAATATATCTTACAATTGTAATTCTCATGTTCTAATCAAAAAAAAATAAATATGAACCCTTTTTTGACGAGAATGGATTTTTAAAAATTCAACCTCTCATCTTTCTAGTTTGGGTTTCATTTTGATTAATTTGTCATTTATGTTCAAGGTTTCTAGTGTTTTCAAATATTTGATCGCTATCCTTTTCCTTTTTGAACTTTATTAGTATTTCATAGATGCTTCATTTTGTTTTTCTTGTTTGTGGGGTTTTTTTGACTACGATTTTCTGCATTGTTTTTGAAATCTGGCTACATTATGCTTATTAGGTGATTATCAGCTATTTTAAAAATATATGATTATATTCAGTTTAAGTATCAAGTAGTTAGGTAGCAAATTTCATATTGCATAATTAAAGGAATATTTCATTATTGTACTGGATCAGCATCAATTAAATCCGAATAATTAGTGACACAGTTTAATGAAGTCATGTTTTTATCCCATCTACAAACATGTATAAAACTTATAATTTCCTTTGACAGTTTCTTACGGACGAAAACTTGAAATGCTGACAGCAGTTTTGTTCAATGATTTCATTCAAAATGTTTACTATGAAAGACAGAAGCGTGATTTGAATTCTACGAAGAAAAGAATATGGATTTATACAAGATCGAGTATTCCTCCATAGGAGTGCTTTTCCTCTTTTAAATTTTGAACACTTGAGAATATTTGATTTTTGCTAATTAGCTTACCTCTCTGTGTGTAATAGAAAATGTTGCTTCAAAATAGGAAGGAAAAAAATTTTGTATTATTATTTGAAAAAGTTTTACTTGCCGTTTTTTTAACTTTTTTGGGGATCATATCTTTTCTTTTTAGTAACACCATTCGCAGCATGTTTTTTTTATTTCGTTTATTGTCATCATATGGAGTTTTTTTCTGGTTTTACTGTTGCACATTTGTCGTTATTTTTATCCAGTCAGGTTCTTTTATAACTTTATTAATTATATGCTTCCCTTGTCAGCTTCAGTTATTACATAATTTTTCGTGGTTACATTCTAAATACTTTTTCGCATGCTTTACGTTGATTTTGCTTTTCATGTTTGACATGCAAAAGTTTTTCTGGTTTTATGCTCCCATATATGTTAAGCTGGCTTTTATAATATTACTTTTTTTTCACAGTAAATGCTGATTGATAATAAATTGGTTCTAGCTATTTCTTTGCGCCTAAATATATCTAAATAATCGCTAGTTTGAAATTAATTTGAACATTTAGTGTGGTAATTATCTTACTGAAATATTAAATTTTGTGTGTCTTCACTTTTTTGAAAGTGGAAAAATTTTAGCGCATTTTAATTTTTAGGTTGTTGTAATTCTGATAATTTTAGTAAGACTTTCTTATGAACATATCGGTAAACGGGACGCCGTTTCAGAAAAGCAAGTAAAACATTATAACAAGGTGTTGTGATTTATTAAGAACTGGTAGTTGGGTTGAAAACACGATTAATTTATTTGGGAAACTCAAGTCGTCAAAGCGGAAATTTTCAAATGAAGAATTGCTGAATAAAAAAATAATTGTGTGCGAGATGTAATGAGACTTTATCATAATTAAATGACATATGTTCTGCATAGCGCTTTCTTCTTTTCAAAAATCCAGATACTCTACTGAATTTGAGCATTAATTTATAGTGCTATGATTATTTATGAAATGAGTGGTATACCAGAAATAGTGATTTGTTAGCAAGAAATTAATGGTAACATATTGTATTTCCTAAGGTATTTTATTAAAGTATTATTTTCGCGCATCCAATCACGTTTTATTTATTTATTTTTAATTTATATATGAGTTAAGTGAAGTGGGCCTTGCCACTGCTGTTACTGTTATGTGTGATATTTACGATTTGATTCCTTCAAAAATTTTAAATTCATCATTGGTTGCATTTTCTAACTTTGTAAGTGACAGTTTTGTGATGAATTATGGCAATACAAATAAAATGATTTTTGGCTGAAACTGCGTGTATATATATATATATATATAAAGTTTTTTTTTTTCTGCTAAGAAAAATGCACCATTCAATCACTGACACTCATTATCATGAATATTTTGCATAGAAAAATATACTCCTTGAAACGGTGGCGGTTTTCTGAACCACCGTAATCAGTGCAAACAATAATTGATGAAGTTGATGATTTCCTCAAAACATCGAAAGTAAAAATCCATTTTTTGCAAAAGTGCACAAAATGCACACTTGATCGAGTGTACTTAATAAATGCTTTAGAACAAATAAGAAATTTAACCCATAATTTTTTTTCCTTTTTTCCTCTTTTTTTTTGAGCACCATTGTTTAAAAAATTTCACTATAAGTGACACATTTCAAAGGACTGAAGTATGTATGAAATAAATACCGATAATATAATGTGTTTATGAATACATTTGATATCTAAACGAATAAGGAATTAGGATATTTTGTTCGCAATGTATTATTTGATCAAAAATATTTTCCATCTCTTCATCAGTGAATTTGCGTTGAATGAATTTATTGAATTTATTTGAATTATATAGTTATGGAAAGCGATTTAATATGTTTTACCCAAAATTTACTTTCACAAGCTTATGAGAGCGTATTTTAATTCACGAGAATATTTGAGAAATACTTGAATGTTTCAGCTCATTCAAGTTTAACAAATTTGATAAATAAATATATCCAGTTTCAGGAGTAAACAATGTACAAGTTTCTAAAGAAATAAATAAAACGCAAGAATTGTCGTGCTAGATACTTTGAAGTACAGGAGACTCAATATTTGGCGTGTTTATCCTGTGTAATGCAAAAGACTTTTAATAAACCAATAGAAGAGCCATCCCAAAACAAAAAACTTAAACCGATATGGATAAGTTAATAAATATGCAAAGCTAATAAATAATAAAAGAAAGAGTCGAATTAGGCAGTTAGTTTGTAAAAATGGATTTTATCTTTATACTTGATTTTAAATCTAGTTTTTGGAGAAAAAATGAAGCAGTAATTTTCTCTAACATTTAAACTATTTAGAATGACACTGAAACTACTATCTAGAATCTGCAATTGAAAGAAGCTCGATCTTTAATTTTATGTTTTCTAATCAATAAATTCATGAAATGTGAATGATTGGTGGCTGAAGATTATAATTTTAAACAATTGAAGAAGACGGTGGAGAAAAGGTTGAGAAGAAAATGAATCGATAAATCATATAAATAAAGTTATTCCATTTTATTACCTACCAGTCGGTTGACTTGTTGTTACAGTTTTGAAAATTATTTAGAATAATATGATTTAAATATAAAAATGATCTGCTATGAAGTCTCCGGAAAATATAGCTCTTGCAACAAAATGCTTTCTCGAAATGGATCTGAACTTATCATGTGTGCACTAATGTAAAGAAGAAATAATGAAAACAAGGATACTGAATCTGCTATTTTGGAAACAGCAAAAGTAATGTTGTGAAAAACAAAATGTCTCATACCTTCATTAATTTTTGTTTGTCACTGAACAAGAAAATCTGATATGAAAGTGATAAAATCACTAAACAAATTAAATGTGTCGAACACACACATTACTATCACATCAAAGATATCACAATATTATGCGTCAAAAAAACTCAAACAGTAAAACTGATACTTAAAATATAAATTATAATATTGATAAAAAACAAAACAGAAATTCTATGAAGGAACTGCAGATGTCGCAGAGGTCAATACAACTGCTCTCATAGCTGGTGCTGCACCAACATCATTCATCTTTGGATTCGGCAACGGTAGCTGCTGAGGTGAATTCTTCAATGGCGAACTCTCCATATAATTGGAATTGGTACGATGACCTGAAAAAGTATAATTTTCTCGAGTTTGAAATAAAAAATTCGAAAGTGAGCATACAGTTTGAAATTAGCATATTGCACAACTAATTAAATAGACATATTTGATATCGGAAAAAATGTGGGTTACATGAAAGTATGATTATGAACATTATCATCAAATTCTTTCCTTTTTCATTTACTCCGGAGAATTAAAATTACTGAAATATGAGTGTAGTTTTTCGAGTGTTTTGGTTAAACGATCGTAATAAATTACGATAAATTATTTTTTTTAAAAAAAGTTTAGAAAAAAAAACTATTGAGTTATTACCGGACTTCGTTGTCTCAAAAATATTTTCTGCTGCTGTCTTCTTACATTTTGTACGTGTCAAATTTCTTTCCTTAACTTTATATTCTAAAGTTGAGTGAGGTACCCCGTAGAAGCTACCAGCACGATGAACCGACATTTCACCGCGTCGAACTGATCGGACTGCTTCATCTAGTGCATCCTTCTTATATTTTCTGCAGTGTATCAAACAATTGAAAGTTACCGTTTGATGACAAACGTAACGAATGTTTTAAAATAATCCAAACAAAAATCTTTAAAATATCTCTAAAACAAATGAGATACCTGTATTGGCCTCGTTTCGGACGCGATTTTTTCCAGTCGAGTTGGTTTTCAGTAGTATTTGTTGGACTTCTACCAGTTTTCTTTTCTCCCGCATGAACATTTTTTGGTTCGGCTGTTTGTCGATGAACAAATGGTGACCAAAGCGATTTTTTCTTCTCCGTAACTGGCTCATCGTTTGCTGTAGTTTAAGATTGTGCTAATAATTTATATGCTTCATAGACTTAGAAATATCAAAACAAAAGAAGTGATACCATTAATCGATTCCTGATTGGCAAAGTGAGGCTTATTATTTGGACCAGTTTCCTGAATAATTTCCGGCACAGACACACCATCAATTGCTACAAGTGTCTGTTTAGGAGGTAAAATAATCCTGCAATAGTATGTTGATGACATTTGTCTTTTTTTTTTGAAAATTTGACAGTAAATTTGTAAATTTTCTCATTTCAAACCCCTTGATTAATAAATTTTATCAAAGACAAAATTACTCACTCAGTAGAACCAGCATTAGCATCGTTTGGAAAAGGCACCGTAGTAGCTGATGGAGACTGAGCTCTGTCCGGTGTTAACATGGTACCAAAGTTATTTATGCGCTTCTTTTTCCCACCAGTACCATTTCTACGCTGATCCTCAGCTGCATCGAGTTTGTAGATTTTGTTGCGTAATGTTGATCTATAATCCACGCATATTAAAGTACAAAAATTGCAAAACTCAGTTACACTTTACTTCATGGTCATATTAAATTGGTTTACTTAAATGTATGTTTTTGCGATAAAAAGATATTTGTACAATCTTTTAAATCTTCCTGAAAACTTTTTGGTAGTAACAAGCTATGTAATAATGGAAACTAACCTTGGTATTCCATAAACCACGCTTGCTCGTCGCGTTCCGAGTCGGCCACATCGGATATCCCGTACAGCAGCATCCAAATCAGCCTGGGTATAGTTTCTCTTACTCATCGACGAGTGGAGAGTTCGTGTTCCAATGATATTCTTCGCTTGGCTGATTGCAGAATTATTTTCCTCATCCCTGAAAGTGGCAGTTAGAATTGAATTTTTTAATTTTTAGCTATCAAAATGTATGGCTGCATTGTTTGCTTATCACCAATAAGTGAAAAGGAAATAAATGAGTTTATCCACTTTAATTATTTAATTAACTAATTGATTTACAATGATGAATTAATCAATCAGTGATCAGCTGCTTAAAAAAAAAAAAAAAATCACGAATATTTAGCTGCACAATTTCTACGGCACAGAATAACGAATAGAACTTTTGAGCAAATATAGTATTGCTTGAAAAAAATGAATGAAAGTAAGGCAAATTATTACATTTTTGAATGCAATTACAAGATGAGAAAATTCAATAATCTTTTTTAAAAAACTAAAAATGTTATACGTACTTAGAAAGAGAATTCGGTGATTTATCAGAGATAGCATTGATTAATGCACGCAATCGTCTTCCATCTCGAGAATTGTGGGCCGATGATACAGCACATTGCGTAGCCGCTTGAAGCGCACGACGTGAGCTCAGATCTAATGGCTGATCTTCTTCAATCAACCCATTACTGTTATTTCCTCCTTCCTTGTAGAATAATGCTCTTGGTCGTTCCAACAATGATTCATTGCCAAACGATGATTTTGATAACCCTGCAAAAAAGACAATAACATTGTACTTAAATTACAATTAATTCATGCTTCAGTTTAATTTAGCTACACGTAAGCCTAAATTAATGAATTTAATCTGAACACTAAAATATTAAATGGAAAGATTTGAAAGAAAAAATGAATTGATCTTTTCCATGATTATCAAATAATGATTAAACTTATATTCTCTCAATAAAAACACTTTAAAAATCCTTAGTTAAAAAATTAACTTTTATTTTTTAGTTTTTTTCTAATTTCTGTCTAACAAGGACTAAGCTAATGTGCTGCATGATCTTCCTATAAAAAATCACTTATCCCTAAGTTATAAAGCACATTTTAGAAAGACAGTTTGATTTTTTAGAAAAAGTTAAAAATTCTTCTTATAAAATTTAGAAGATGCGGCATTCAAGAAAACAAGAATCCTGCTTTGCAGAACTTACAGTCCATTGTAACTTATAAGGAAAAATGAACCACTGTCACATTTCTTAAGAAAGATATTATGCACTTCGTTCAAAATTTACCATAATTAACGAATATGTCAATTTGCAAGTTTTTTTTTTCTTTTTTTACCGGCATGTAAAGCTGGAAGGTTGTTGTTACTACAACATATATGAGCAGCCCGTATCACATTCTCTGCTTTAGCAGATATTGAAGGAATCATATGTTGAATTAGATGATTCGTTTCCGTATCACCATTTTCTTTACCTTGCATTATGATATTTCTTTTTGAAGCCGAAAGATACTGTTCACTTATTGAATTGTGTAGATTTTCTGGAAATATTTTTCTTGAAATGTAATGTGAAATTAAAAAGTTATGCTGAAAAATTCGAGTGGCAATATTTCAAAGTCCAGGTTTCGACATTAATTCGCCATTGGAAAGATAGTCGTAATTAATAAATAATAAAAAAATGGTATCAAGATTGCTCATTCTTGTACTTTTGCAGAATTCATTGCAGTTATGATCTTGTATTGATAAAACGCACTTTTATTTCTGTTTTTTTTTTTATTTTTCTGTGTTTATGTCATATGTATTAGTGTGGATGTCTTGGAATATTTTGTGTGTTAAATGTTATGTGTTTTATTTGGATATTTTATTTTATTATCTTTATTTTAGTGATATCTTAATTTTTGTTTTTTTCTGTTCTTTAACTCTGCTTTAAGCTAAGTGAAAAAAAAAATGATTGAAATGATGTAAGAACAATCAATTGCTTCGACATGTAGATCTCAGCTTTAATCCATAACTTAATATTATTTTGGTAGAAATTTATAATTAGCAATAACAATGTACCTGGTGAACGGTGTGAATTCATTTGTTGTAGCAACAAGCTAGATGTACTCCATTGTAAAAGGCTTTGACAAAATAGCTGATTTGCTATTTCAGCTAAAGTTGTTTTCATTTAATAAGACCATTAAATTTTTGTAAATTACTAAATATTATAATACCAACACATTTTTGCTTAATTTAAAAATGATAATAAATAGTTTGATATTTGATTTTCTAATGCCTTCTAGACCTAAATATAAAGGAATTGAGATTTTGTTCTTTTCAACAATGTGAAAAAAGAACAAAAAGCTTTTAACATCACATCAACTTTTAAAAAAAGCAAAACTTTCGAAAAATATATGAGTGAATATTTCGGCAAATATATTGTAAAATAATTTGACTTTATCTCAAATTTTTATCAGTATTTTGTTGCATGCATCTTTCTCACTATATCCGAACATATTTAAATGATGGCCTTTGGAACAAAATTTTTTATTCAAAAATTTAATATTATTCTAAAACTTAATTTTGTTTTGTTTTGGACAATGAGATTTAAAGGTCTTTTATAATAAATGTGACTAATAATTTATTACAATTTTCTGTTTGAGATGAAACAAAAAAAAAAAAATTAGTTTGTAAAAAAATTTGAACCGTTTTTCTCTTTTTTTGTAAGTAAATCAACTTATGATTTACAATATTTATGTGTGATTTTAGAAAATATATTAGACTAAAATTTCACAAATATAGAAGTAACGAGTGAGAACTTACGAAGAGGCACAAATGGTGTCATCACAGGAAGGACGGATGGAGTACAGAGGTTTGAGAATGGATGCATGTAAAACAGACGAGACTGTGAACCACCAGATGATTCCAGATGTCCTGTGCTTTCCGGAGAGCTATTTGCTGCATTTTGCTCCATCTTAACTTGATTGGAGCAACCGGCACCGTAATATTCACCATCGCTTGCTGCGCTTTCATTCTCATGTTCGATTCTCATGGAATCCTGAAATCAAATTTTAAAAAATTTATTAACTTAAACAATACAATTATTTTTTTACTTGTATATTTCTCATTTTTTTTTTTTTTTTTTTTTTTATCGAATAAACAGACAGAAAGAATAAGTTTCTGTATGACGAAAGCAGACATCAATAACATTACTTAATTAATGAAAATATTACTTTCGTGAAATAAGCCGAATTAATTCCCTATCATATATGCTAAAATTGTATCAACGTGTAAAGCAACATCAGGATTGCTCATTACAATAAGTCTCAATTATCGAATATAACTTAGAAAAACAAGAGCACATCTAAAGTAACTTTAGGTTATCTTTCGTTAATCCACCTAATTTTCATTTTTCTTTCCATATTTCACTTTCTTCAGCCTCTTCTTTTTTACTTACCCTAATATTCGTTCCAGTTTCAGGTATCATTCTACATAAAGCATCTTGCATGATATGTAAAATCGAACTTGAAAGTGGACGACAATTTTTTAATTATCTACCTTTTCGGAGCAATCATCCGTGGATAACCGTAAACCATCACAAAAGGGGCATTTTTCGGTAGGCGACCAATCCTGCACAGTTGTATTATAATCTGCTTCCGTTTCTGTAAGTAATGAAACATCTAAATTGTAACCAATTTCAGATAGCTGCTTTAACCGTACAATTCTATCATTTTTATCTTTTTGATCACTTCAGCAATCAGTTTGCTGCTATCATTCTAATGCAACCACGCTGATAAATGGTTTAAGTGCTTACAAATAAACTAATTAATGAGTTTTGCAGTAAAGTTTGAATGATATTTTTAAATTTGGAAAATTTTCGAAAAAAATGAAAAATTCAGAACAATGGCCTAAGATTTTTAAAGAAAATGGAGAATGAATACAGTCGCTCAATTTTATTAATACATATATATGTTTATTTTTAAGAAAATGGGTGCCAAAGCATAATATTTTTGTGCTATTTTGCCGAAAAAAAAATCTTGAAAATTGATGTTAAAAATTGTACAGAGAAAAAAAAAAAACGAAAAACATTTCTCGGATGTTGCATGTTTTTAAAAATTGATAAAATAAAAATAACAGCAAATGTAGACGGAAAAATCATTCTTATAGTAACCGGTTTTACCGCTATTATAAGCTTCTTCTATGATTCAACAACAAAAAAAAAAAAAAAAAATATGATTCAAAGACTAATCTTGAATTTAAGCTACCAAAAACATAAGTTGAATGATTTCGAAATTAAGAGAATCTGAAAATCTTTTTTTAAATAATTTATTCGTTTTCGTTTTTTTTTTTTTTTTTCAAAAATTAAAGAACATTTGCAATATTGCTGATAAAATATAGTAGTAAATTAAGTATTTAGTAATATGATAGTGGAATAAAGAAAAGAGAAGAAAGGAAACAGAACAAAAATATTAGAAGAGCCTATGAGAATATTCCAACAACAAAAATTCAGAATTCGATTTGTATAATCTACAAGATGCGTATTTTTGGAGAAAAAAAAAAGACATAAATGATGAGAATTTGCTTATGTTTATAATATTAATGACAATTTACATATTTATTTAAATTATAGCAAATGAAAACCTGCAGTAAGAGCAGTTGAGATTACATTGACAATGGATCGGCATTGTGAATTTCTTGACATATAACGCTTGCTTACTTGTTCAAAACCTGCAAGTGTGCTCCTAAATTGATGTGTCAGAAAAAAAAAAATGCATGAGCGATGATCGTTCTAAATCTTTTCCTAATTGTAGAAATTAGCTTCAGAAAATTTCACCTAAAATTTCAGTCTGGTTTTTTGTTTGACTATCTATCATTTTTGATTTCCTAAGCCAATAAATTAAATCATTTAAAGAAGTTGAAATTTTAATGGATACATTGCATTAATAATGATTTAAAATAAATTGTAATTTAACTGAGTATTCCATATTTTTTTTCTTTCAGAAAGAAATGCAAAAAATCTAAATAAGCATTAGACTCGTCTTCCAAATGTTTTAAAACTTTTAAATAGCAAAAAAAAATTACACTAGCAAGAAATAGTTTTAAAATGAATAACAGGTTATAGTAGTTGTTTGTGAAATCAGGTGAAGATAAAAATAATGAAGATATAGAGGAATAGATATGATATTGTACCGTACGATTGTTGTAAATAACATTCATAATACAAATTTAGATTCTACCGTAATCTTTTTTACAAATTTATGTATTACAAGAATGTTACTGTAAAAACTAAATTATCTCAAATAATTTAGCCACATGTGCAATATTTTTGGACAAATATATGGTGGCAAATATTTGAATGGAAGTGTTGCTTGGGAGCTACCGTAGAAGCTCAAGAATTTATTTTCTTATTCCAGCTTATCCATCACCAAATCTCATCCATCTCACTCTTTTCTGCTCCTAGATCTTTTTCTTAACGTCAAATATTCAAATCTTTCCACAAAATTATTCTACTCATTTTAAATGAAATATCTGTACAGCAAATTGCTGAAAATTATGCTTTTCAAAAAAAAAAATTCTTGGAATAAAGTATATTTTTCCAAACATCATATTTAAACTTTAAATGAAAATTTTCAAAATTTTCTGTTATTCTTTAAAAATGGAAAATGTAAGAACGAGTAAGAACTGGTAGAAAAAAATATTCCAACAATAATTATTCCCTATTAATTCTGATTTTGAGAAATCACCTCTTTCTCAAATTCATAATTAAGTATTTTTTTTTTTTTTTTTTTGTAAATTTAGTTTGTCATTGCTTGATTAGAAATGATAATTCTCTTACTTTGTTTTTTTTCTTAATTTTTTTCAAAGCAGTTTAAAAGTTTTAATATTTGATGCATTTAATTTTCGGAAACAAAGTGCTCATTTACTAATACAAAATTAAAACTATTTTAGAATCTTATCGTTAGTTCTTTGAGTTTCTAAACAAATTAGAAATAGCAATATCATAAACCCCACCATTTTAATAAATCATGATAATAGTTATCATTAATTCATTTTATTTTTTTCTTAACTTAGCTTATTTTTCATCTTCTTTTAATAAAATAAACTTTCAGCTTGATAAGTAAGTACATATAATATAAGCAATAGTTACTATTTTCAGAAAATATGTTAATGCGCATTGAGTTAAAATATATACGAAAATTATGTTTGACTACAACAAAATCTGATGCTTTTAAAAATACTAATTCTTCCTCAGTTAAATAAAAATTATGGTCCAGCAATTGAAAAAGCTAATAAAATGATAGGAGGTAAATTTCGATTTAAAAATTTAGCAGATTTTTTTTTTTGTCTCTTTTTTCTTTAAATCCAGGTAACCTTTAACAAAAGCAGTTTAACTAACACTCCTAAATTTTTAATCAATAGAATGTAAGTAAATACATAATAAAAGTTAAATATTTAACATATATTGAATTAAAAATTTGATTTCAATTAAAAGCGTTTTTTTTTTCTTCCTTCCTTTTTTTTTTTTCAAAATCTATTTTTGCCCTATTATTTGAACGGTTCAAAAAAGAAAATGAAATGAAATAAAATAAGTGGTTTCTTAGTAATTTTCAAACGATTCAACAAATTTTTTTAAGCAATTTTCCACCACATCCAATTAACATATACTGAAAACAATTCGTCGTTGCCTTATAACGAAAGCAATTTGCCTGACACATCTTCGCTTTCATCACATTGCTAAGAGTCCTTTCGTCCATTCTATTCTCTCTCTCTCTCTCTCTCTCTCTCTTACCCTCTTTTCATATCTCTCTCTTCTTTCTTTTCCTTTCACCTTCGAAATTTTCATTCTTCATTTACTATTGAGCGTTAAAATTTAGCTACAGACTTTTCTAAATGATGTCGCCTTTGAATTAGTCAAAAATATAACTGATGATAAAATAAAACTTGACATATTTTCTAGAATATCTAACTTAAAACAATTGTGAATTTAAAAAAAAAAATCGTTTTTTTTTTTTTTTTTGAAGTTTAGTACTGGCACTATTTTATTTTCATAAATATTAAAATATTGGTTTTGTAGGAAAAAGATTAAACTGAAAAATAATTGTTACTTTTGAGAAAGTGTAACTAATTTCAACGAAATCATTTTAAAAGTGAAATAATTTTTTATCAAATTACAAAATTATGATTTCATTTGGACTGTTGCACTTTTCTTATGAATTATTCCATTAGTGATACAGATTAGTGAAAGATGAAAAATGATAGGATAAGATTTTATTTTTGAATACGATATGATATACATAATTCTATATGCGATGACGTTAATACTGGTGGATTATTCGTCAATATTGAAAATCCGTAAAGTGACTTAAATGACTTATTTATAAAAAGATATGTAAATATCTTATGAACATGTTCGATTTATTTATCCTTTTGACATTTCAATACATACATAGACAAATTTTTTTAATACCAAGTTTAATAAGATTTGATAAATTTCAAAAAATTCACAAAAAAGAGAAAAAAAACATTAAAGAAATTGAACAAATTTTCATAATTTCATGCATTTCTATTATTGTTATAATTTAAAAAAATAAAATGAGAGAACTATTGGGTGACACAAAGCATGAATGATCTGTTTAAGAGAAAGAAGATTGCTTAATTCGTTATGTAAATTTAGCTATTGTAGAGTGGAACTTATTTCTAAATTAATTTTATTCTCTTCAATACACACTATTTTTTTGTTAAAAATTTATTTTTTTTCGTCTTTTCTAAGCTTATTTTGTTGATATGATTAAAAATAACTTTTATCGGGTTGTGATAAGCTGCATTTTGAATTATCTAATAATATTGAAAATCCTTAAGTTTTTTTTTTTTTAATTTTAATTATAAAGAAATAGAAATAGTTCATATATTGGTATATATATATATTTATTTATTTATTTATTTATTTATTTATTTATTTATTTATTTATGCATAAATGTATATTCGGTGGAGTTGATAAAACAGTAAGAAATTATCGCCAGATTGAAAACGGACATAGGCTTCAAATATTAATTTTTCGTTGCCATGACAATCTTTTAAAACCTCCTTCCTTTCTCACCTCTCCCCTCATCGTCTAACTTATTAAATTTTGCGTATTTTTTGGAGGAATTTCTATTTTAAACAAACAATTTTGATAATTTAAACATATCTAAAGTGATTTCTGGTGAGGACTTGATAAACTGAAACGACTAGATAAGATAGATTTAATAAAATAATGAAATGATTTGATATGATACCTGTTGCCATTTAAGTATCTCGAAATGACTACGATGCAAAAATGCTCCAACATGCTATCATTAAGAAATATGTGGTATAAAAGAAATGAGATAATTCTCTATAATTTCAACTCACAAACATTGATTGTTACAAGAACTGAATTGCAATATGGCATATAAACTATTAGGCATAGCTATTACTTGAAAATATTAGTAAATTATTTTACTTGAGGTAATCATAAGATATAAGCAAGCAATCGGCATGTTAGGCAATGTTACATGCATATCAGAGGATCATTTGAAAAGCAGTAATTAATAAACTAACTAATTTAAAATTTCTGTCATAATTATGAAAGCATAAAAATTGAATGATAATGTGACTGAAAATCTAATGTATTGAATGATTTTTAATAGATTTCAATTATTTTATGGAGTAAATTTTGCTAAAACAGTTAAAGATTTAGTTAATAAACAAATTGCTGGAATGTTGTTCTTCAACCACTATTTGTTACATTTTTTTCAGTCTTTGGATGATTTTCAGATAAGTAAAAATTGGGTACCAAAATAATTTCCATATTTTTTGAAATTAAAAAAATACAAGCAAGAAGGCAACAAATAATTACATTACCTCGAATTTTTCATGGATAATAAATTAGTTATCGAATGTATAATTGTTAACGAATAAGCTTATTTTTTGCAGTTTGATCAAGTAAGCATGAAGTGTATGGAATATGCAATTAATTTGAACAAGTGAGATAGGGAAAAGAATAGTTTGCCAGAAAAGCTATAGCGGGCCAAGAAGCAGCCTTAGGCATCATTAAAATGCAACATTTGATCGACAGGGCCACAACACTGCACATTTTGTTTCATTCCTCTCATCGCATTTTAATTGATTCAAGCTCTTTGGATTAATGATTACAGGGTCATGTTCGCTATTCAGAATATCTACGCTTGAAAATTTAAATTAATATGACAGAATCTTCATAAGCTAGCGGTCTTCATTTCAACGTATAATAACCATTTCTCCTCAGTCCCATTAAGTTAATTAATACTTATAATGCTTCCAATACTATGACTTAGAAAAAACTTCAAACATTTCAAATTGAAACTTTTAATTTGAATTGATAAACAGCTTTCTAAAGGCTACCATTTTTTTATCTTTCGCTCAATGTTTTCCATTTTATACTATAAAATTGTGAGATCTTTTTTTTTTTTTTTTTTTTTAAGAATAGAAGTACTTATTAAAATTTGCTTGATCATATTTTGTTTGTCAAAGATTTCAATCTGCTAAATTTTGCTATTCATTTTATTCAGTGGCAGTGATTTTACTGAGCTTAAATAATATTTGCAAAAAAAAAAAAAAAAATCATCAATTCCTTGTTTCTTTTTACAATAATGATCTTTGATATTGTTCTATACTTCGATATTTACATTTTTCCAGACGAA